CCATGCAGTTACTCCATTCCCATTTAGGGAAGCCTTGGGGCCAGCAATTTGGGTGATGAGGCTTCACTGTAGCCTCAAAAAAGCTGCATTAACTGCCCCCCCCATTGTGGTTGCTCCACCCCCACTTAAGGCATTCTCAGGGCAAGTGATGTCATTGCTGTAGTTTGGGGAAAAGGCAACTTCAGTCACCTTTTCCTGCCTGTCTGCATAACCCCTCAGTTAAATTAGAGTTCAAGAGGAGCAGAATAAAAGTCACAGTAAAGGCATGCGATGGTAAAGGATCAAGTTCCCACCACCCTAAAGTGGAAGAACTTTATTGCTAGTTCTAAGACTTCTGTCAGAAGGAAAGGGGCCTTAAGTGGAGAATAACTTGTTACTCAAACTGAGGGGGGATGCCGACGGGCGGCCCTGGGTCACCCCCGGAAGTGGAGGATCGAGGCCGAGGCTGCCGGACACATCGGTCCCGATCCTCCCTTTTTCCACCTGTGAAAGAAGCACTAAAATAGCACTCCTTCTGCAATCCATGAAAGGGGCACTGCAAGAGGCGTGGCACACCTCTTTGGTGTCTCTTCCAGCTCAGCATGTCCGGACGCTGAGCCAGAAAGACATCATTGGAGCGGCTGTTGTGTGGATGGGCCATCACTCCGATGATGTCTTCAGGAAGGGGGTGGGGTGCCCAGCAGCTGGCTGCCCCTCCCCTTCCTGGTATTGAAGATGGCACACTTCCTGGTATTGAAGATGCTTTTAAAAAAGGGTTCTGCATCATGAGTAACCAATCTACTTTGGCAAGCAAATGCTTTTGCTCCTCCTGGGGAAGAGGTCTAAATACCCTAAAGGCACCAGATCCTGTTGGAACTTGGAAGCTAAGCAATATAAGCCCTGATTAGTACTTGGATGGGAAACTGCCAAGAAATGTCAGGTGCTTTAGGCTATATTTCAGAGGAAGTAACTGTCAAAATCATCTCTCAGTAGTCCTTCCCTAAGAAGACCCTATGAAATTGATGGGGTTTCCATAAATCAACTGGTGACTTGAAACTACGCACACATGGTTGTTGTGTTTAAAGATATAGCTGTGTTAGTCTGTAAAATTAATATGTATAGAGATTTTGTAGCACCTTTGAGACTAACTGGAAAAAAAGGAGGTTTGTAGCATGAGCTTTTGTAGACTTTATGGCCTTTACAGACTTCCAGAAATAATGCAACTTGAGGCCACTTTAACTGTCCTGGCTCAGTGCTAGAGAATCATGGGAATTGTATTTTTTTTTCCCTGGGACATTGAGCCTTCTCTGTCAGAGAGCTCTGTTGCCACAATAAACTACTGTTTCCATGATTCCTTTGCACTGAGCCAGGACAGTTAAAGTGGCCTCAAGCTGCATTATCTCTGGCAGTTTGTAAAGGCCCTTTAGGGTCTCTACAGATGGCCCTTTGTGCTGTCTTGGAGGCAGGGAAGGGGGGGCAGCTGTACGCTGGCCGCCCCAACTCCATCCTCGAAGATGTATTGATGGTGTGAGCCGTTACACATGGTGCACGCTGTCAGAACATCCTTCCAGCACTGCACCGGAAGGGATGCAGAAGAGCCACGTGGCGGCTCTTGGGGCACCCTATTTGCCAGCCCTGAAAGGAGCGGCATTTTGCCACTCTCTTCCGGGCTGGCAAACAGGAGAATCAGGGCTGCTGCAAGTGATAGCAGTGGCCCCGATCCTCTGCTCCCCAGTACAGCCCAGGGCTGCCCATCTGCATCCTCCCTCAGTCTACTTTTTCAGATGCCTATGGCAGAACACATTCCCTTGGAGAATGGTGGAGTCTCCATCTTTGCAGCTCTTTAAATAGAGTCTGGATGGCCATCTGTTGTGGGCACTTTGATTGTGTCTTCCTGAATGGCAGGGGGTTGGACTGGATGGCCCTTGTGGTCTCTTCCAACTCTATGATTCTATGAGTCTATGAGATTGAAAGCCAGGGACAGATAGGAGGGCAGGAATTTAACTGAAGATAACTGAAAGGAATGTTGGTTACTGCAGACCCAGTCGGCATGAGTAGAACCCATGAGCTCTACATGATACTTAGTTTGCAAAGGGCTCCCCACACATAGGTCCTTAGGAATGAAATCTCGTGTTTGTACTTGCTGAGAAAGAAGATATCTGTCTATATCTGAGCAAGTTTCTTAAAGAAGTTGATGGATTTCCACTTCATTTGGCTAAATTTGGTGCTTTCCATACTGGTAGAATTTCAAGATATAGCCGTGTTAGTCTGTAGGATTAATATGGATAGAGATTTTGTAGCACTGACTAATGGGGGGGGGGGAATGATGTTTGTAGCATGAACTTTTGTAGACTTTAGTCTACTTCTTCAGATGCTTATGGTGGCTTGAAAGCCAGGGAGATAGGAGTGCAGGAGTTTAAGTGAAGATAACTGAAAAGGAATGTTGGTTACTGCAGACCCAGTCAGTATGAGTAGAACCATGAGCTCTACATGAGGTGTATAGTTGTTGTATGTGTGCCCTGAAGTCATTTCTAACTTATGGCAACCCCAAGGTGACCCTATCATGGGGTTTTCTTGGCTGCATTTGTTCTGAGGAAGTTTACCCTTGCTTTCCTTTGAGTATGAAAGAGTGTGACTTACCCAAGATCACCTAGTGGGTTCTCATGGCTGCACAGGGATTTAAACCCTGGTCTCCAGAGTTGTAGTCCAGTGATTAAACCACTTCACTATGCTGGTTCATGGGGAAATGAGTAGTACACATGGGGGGAGGGAGCCCTATTAAACTACCTCCCTTTGCTATCCTATTCAGTTAGGGATTGCTAGAACAGCATGTGCTTAGCATAATGCTTTCAGTTTCTGATATCAAACTAGTCTATCCAATTTAAATTTCCAAAAGAATAGTAATAAAATACAGTTTTTAATGGGTCATGGGAAAGAAAAAAAAGATGAGTATTATTTTTTACATATATTTATATGAATTTTGCAGTAACAGCTGATAAATTCCACAGATTAATAAGAATGCAACATAAATTTCATAATTAAGCATTGCTGTGACAACCTTACTAATGGACAAAGAAACCCAAACAATTGTTTCTTAGACCAGGTGAGTAAAATATCAAAACATATAGTATTATTATGATGTAAAATGGTGTCCATGCATGTTGGTTAGTCTAATGGAAATGCTTTGCTCTCTGCATAACACATGTTCTTCTTATAGTTTGATGCCTATACATCTGCATTATTAAGGCATTGCATAGGATTTTATTTTCATATGATTTTATCTTGGGATTTGTGTAAGGGAATGGTTAAACCATTTAAACAACAGTTTAGGTTTCTGCACACTAGTCTAGCAGTGCTATGAGATGATCCAAAGAATTGGAAAATAAATACTGGCAAATCTGAGCAGAAGGACTGAAAATGTTGTGCAATACAAATATCATGGTATTTAGATAACTGGGGGACAGAAAAAATAATAGAAGTTCTGGGTAAGTTTTTGTGTGGTCCTTATAATGTGTATTCCTTAAGTCTTTCACTCCACATCACTACAGTCCAGTACATAGAGTAAAGGTCCAAAAAGAATAATGTCTTCTGCAAGGAGCACAGGATCTTTCTTCATATGAACAGAACAACAAAAATGGGACGACCTAATATGCTTTACTTCTCATTTGGTGACTTCAACCCTCTCTGTATATAACTAATAGGGCATGAGTGTATGTGTATTCATGTATGTAAGTACTATGTGAAATAAGGTTGCTAAACTATTACTTTGGAATCACACTGATGCCTGAAAGATGTATGTTTTTTTGTGAATGCCAGCATATGTTAGTTAGATAGTTTTGTGCTTAAAGATCCAAAAATATTTCAGGACAGGTGAAATGAGGCAAATGAATGACTTCTAAAAACATGTCCAGACAAATAATGTATACTGTTCAGGAACACTATATTCTGTTGTCCTTGAACAGAAAGAATTGTTCACTAGCGCAAATGAGTCATACTGCAAGCCAGTCCAGGCATCTCAGGGTTCTACTTGCTTAGAGCTAGTATTGTGAAAAAGTGCTGGTGAGCTCACTGGTAACTGAAAAATTCAGGCAGAGCCTCACATATTTGTTGAGGCCAAGAGATTTATAGAAGTATACATAAAATAATACAAGAACATTTAAGTTACTGACAGTGATAACAAAAAGAAACATTAATAACAGATAAAGGAGTTCTTAGTTAAACACAATAAAGCTTATTTAAAGAAACCAGATTAGATCATAGATCAACTGGGGCTTCAGTGAGAGGAACAGTTTTGCCTTACACATGAGAATGTGTAATATAGTTCCACTTTGTTCAGGGTTTATGGAGATAAGCTTGTTTGCTTTTCAAACCAACCTTGAAGTAACTTTCCTATATTAAAAACTTGACTTCTCTTCCTCTTTTTTTTTCAGGTGAATCTATCACCTAATCATTCTACCCTAAGCTCTCATAGGTACTTAGATGGGCAAATTTTACATTTTATTTTATTATTTTTCTTGAGTCGGGGGTTGAACAAAGTTGTTTCCCAAATAAAACAAAAATATCCTTTATTTTGCAACCCCATTCTGAGGTCTGTGCATTGTCACTGTGAAAATAAAAGGCTTCCTATTAAAGTTGCTTGCTCTCAGGGTCTGGCCCTGAGTCTCTACTTCTCATGGGTCATCTCCAACTAGAATATATCAGCTGGTTTTCCAGTTCCATCTTCCCTCACAATATTTGAGACCATAAGGGCTAGAAATGTGTTTGATATACAAAGCTAGAGATGCTTATGATACTGCACCCAAATTCTTTGTGTGTTTTCCAAGGGAACAACGGAAGGAACCATTCCATGATCACTATGTTGTATAGAGAGATCAAGTCTCTGCCATCCTAATCCCTGACATTTCAAGGCCAAAAACTGAAATCAGGGGGTAGATCCCTTTTGTGCCATCATTTTTGTACTAGATCCATGGGAAGAATGGCATGCTATCACAAGTCATCACTCACAGAAGCATTTCCACGCACATATCCATGGAACACAGTAGCAACACATAATAATAATAATAATAATAATAATAATAATAATAATAATAATAATAAATACATTTTATTTATAGCCCGCCTCTCCCTGTGGATCGAGGTGGGTTACAACAAATAGGATTAACAATAGAATACAATATACAATTGAAACCAGATTTCTCATTTTATATTGTTATCTAAATACCATGATATTTGTATTCCACAACATTTTCAGTCCTTCTGCTCAGATTTGCCAGTATTTATTTTCTAATTCTTTGGATCTTCACATAGCACTGCTAGACTAGTGTGCAGAAATGTGAACTGTTGTTTAACTGGTTTAACCCTTCCCTTACACAAATCCCAAGATAAAATCATATGAAAATAAAATCCCATGCAGTGTCTTAATAATGCATATGTATAGGCCTCAAACTATAAGATGAACAATATAAAATGAACAGCAATATAAAATACTAATTAAAAGCAGAAGAAATAACAAATAAGCCAAAATTAGAGGTTATTGGAGACGAGACATCTATCTTTCTTGGGGTAGATGGGGGACTTCTAAATAATCCCCTACCCCAACCTCCCTCCCAATCATAACAAAGAAAAAGAAGCAAACTAAATTCTTGGGGTAGATGGGGGATATCAATATCAGTGGAGTGGAGGCTAATTTGGAAAGGCCTGCTGGAACAGATCCAACTTAACAGCTTTTTTAAAGGCTTCTAGAGTGGTAATGTTACAGATCTCCTCCAGCAGGCTATTCCATAACCCAGGAGCAGCAGATGAAAAGGCCCTCTGGGTTATCACAGCCAATCTGATTTTCTTAGGCTGCAGTAAATTCTTCATTGAGGACCTAAGTGAGCAGGGTAGATTATATGGAGGAAGGCGCTCCCTCAAGTAGTCTGGACCTAGGCCATGTAGGGCTTTCAAGATAATAACCAACACCTTGTACTGTGCCTGGAAACTAAATGGCAGCCAATGGAGAGATTTTAGAACAGGTGTTACATGGTCAGTTCTAGGTGTACCTGAGACTTGCCTGGCTGCCTTATTTTGCACCAACTGAAATTTCAAAACTTGGCACAACGGTAGCCACATGTAGAGTGCATTGCTGAAGTCATGTTGAGAGGTTACCAGTGCATGTATTACTGTTTCTAGGATCCTTGGTGATGCAGTGGTTAAATGCCTGTATTGCAGCCACTCACTCATAAACCACAAGGTTGCGAGTTCAGTACTAGCCAGGGCTCAGGCTTGACTCAGGCCTGCATCCTTCCGAGGTCACTAAAATGAGTACCCAGCTGTTGGGGGGGGGGCAATGAGCTTACAGTTGTAAACCACTTAAGACACTGCATAGCGTGGTATGAAGTGGTATATAAATGAAGCTGCTTTGCTTTGCTTTGATAGGTCGCCTGGCTTCAGGAAGGGTTGCAGCTGGCATATCAGCTGAAGCTGATAAAAGGCACTCTTGACCATCTCATCTATCTGAGGTGCCAACTGGAGAGACAAGTCCAGGAGCACCCCCGAACACAGTCCCTCAGGGGAAGTGTGACCCCATCCAGAACTGGTTGACATATCTCCATTCCTGGGTTAAGGGTCCCTATAGCAAGTACCTCCGTCTTATCCAGATTCAGTTTGAGTCTGTTTTCTCTCATCCAGTCCATTACCGCCTTAAAACATTAATTCAGAGGAGAGATGCCATCCTTTGTCACTGCAACAGTCAGAGACATAGAGAAACATATCTGGGAGTCATCAGCATACTGGTAACACCTCACCCCATATTTCTGGATGATCTCACCCAGCAGCTTCATGTAAATGTTAAATAGCATATGAGATGGTGCCCTGAGGGATGCCAGATTTTAGTTCTCTTTTAGAAGAGCAGCTGTCTTCCAGCTTCACCATCTGGAATCTGCCTGAGAGATAGGAATAGAACCACTGCAGTGCATTGCCCCCAATTGCCAACTCTCCCAAACATTCCAGAAGGATACCATGGTTGATGGTATCCAAGGCCGTTGAGAGGTCCAAGAGCACCAACAGGGTCACACTTCCCCTGTCAATGCCCAGACGGAGATTATCAACTAAGGTGACTTCATGTAGTTAGTAACTTCAAAAATGAAAATAAAAGAGCATTAATGAGCTTTCACACCACCTTGTGTCTTGAAATTATATTTTATTTTCATGTGTGGGGTGGTGATGGTCCGAAGTGGAAATCTACATAGATTTGAGATAGAATAGACTTACCAGTTAGCAAAACACAAAATGGGCATGGACTACACCAAAACAGTTCTGTATCTTCCAATTTCTGTTTTATTTCTATCTTCTATTTAAGTAGTTAAGAAACTCGTTTTCACCAAAATGGTATAATTTGCTTTAAAACTACATCTTGTACTAAAAATGTGATATTCTGTATATTACAATCTCTGTAGATGCACTGTAGATTGTTGGAACAGGCTGTTCTGTTGTTCAATCAATATCTGGCCCTTTAAACAAACCCATAAGCCAGGACAGAAAACAAAAACAAGCCTTGTTATTTACAAAAGTCTACAGTTGCAATTTCCTGAATATAAACTGCTAGACATTTTCCTGGGGCATAAGAAGTTCTTTAAACCATTTACCAAAGGGTGTTTCCCAAACCTCCCCCTCTAGCTCTGACAAATCCTATCTACAAATCACTCCATGATAAGTTTTTGCACTTCTTGCTTCTATGAGACACCAGCATTTTAAGT